GACTTCATTTTGCTTGGATCCACTATCAACAATCATGAAAGCAGCAGTCAATAAATCAAGCAATGTACTGCACCTGATCCAAACCATGGAATTTTCAATAACCTCATTTGCACTGAAAGTTGGATACTGAATAAAGAAGACGTTAGAACGAATGCATTTGAGTTATGATGCTGGAGGAGAATATTAAGTGTATTCTGGACCACCAAAAGAACAAATCAATCTGTGTTGGAAGAAGTACAATCAGAGTGCTACTTAGAAGCAAGGATGTCCAGACTTGATCTCTCATACTTCAGACATATTATGAGGGACCAGTTAATAGAGAGGCACATTCATGAATGGTAGAGTGGAGGGTCAGTGAAAAAGAGGAAGATCCTCAACAAGATGGATTGGCACAGTGGCAGTAGCATTGGACTCAAGCATAACAGTGATTGTGACATCAGTGTTGGCACAGGACCAGGCAGTGTTTCATGCTGTTGTGCATAAGGTCACTACAAGTTCATATCAACTGGATGGCACCTGACAAAAACAAACAATCTTCCCATTACCTATAGAAAATTCTGACATTGAAGGCGCTCTACAATTTGGCCTCAAATGCCTGTTTCCTCCGTTCTGGCCAGTCTGAACTACTCTGTCATCCTAACTTGGCAGGCTCATTCTTATTTCCTCAACTGATTTATTTTCAACTAAGAAATGGTACTTCTCATTTAAAACTCATTAATGGTACTTCTCATTTAAAACTCATTGCTGAATTCTAAAGGATGAAGTAAGGTGGCAAGGGTCCTCAGGGATGTTATAATTTACAATCCTTCTGAGGATGCTTTCAGAGTATCCTGTCTGGATGTGGCCCTTTGCCTCTCTGCCTTGGCTCACCTCCCTGTGTGTTTGGGAAGCAGGGATGACAGGCAAGACTACAAAACAACATATTGCTAGGTCACCTTTTTACAGGCCAGTGCTCAAGCCCAGAGCCTCTGGTTTTTTTCTTTTGCACCCAATATGAAGAAGGCAAAGTCCCTATCCTCTGAGCCTCTGCCTGGAGGAGATTGTGAAGAAATGACTATATTCTAACCCAGACCATCAATCTTCTAGCCCAAAGAAATAAACACAATGGTAAGTAGTTGTTTAAAGGGGGAAAAAAAAATGTGCATTGTTGTCAGACTTCCTTACCTGACTTCACAAAGGAGAGGACAGAATCAAGATGAACATCAGACCAAGGCTAATTTGTATGGAGTGAGGGTCAAACACACTGCCACTCACCAACTTTTTTACAAATTCTGACACCACAAGACTCTCTACCTCGCTGTGGGGTTTGATAATATGTTGCAATGGCCACACAGAACTAACAATACAATTACAGGGTTCATCAGGGAGGTACCAGGTTACAACTTGGGATCAGAAAAGCACATAGGCAGTGATCCTTCAGCACAGGACAGCTCTCTCACTTCCTCTTGGCCAGGTAGGGCTCCTCTTGGGCGCTCAAAACAGAACTTCTCTCTTGGCCCTTGGCCTGGCCTGTATCCTGCTCAGCCACATGTTACAAAGCTCTTTTAGCTCTGCCAATAAGTACCCACAGACACCCTACTTCTCTAGCCAGCCTCTTGCCCAAAGCCTCTCGACTCTCTTGCTCCATGGTCAGCTTGTCCACTTTAGCCTCTTTGCTCAGAGAGCCACAAAGCCCACTGCCCCATCTTGTCTGGTTTCCTGGTACTGCTGCTGCTGTTTGTCTATTGCGTCTCATCATCTCATGCCTTCCCCAGTGTTACAACTGTCTCCTGAATCTAGGAGATTCCCAGCACAGGGACCTCAGGTCCAAAGAATGTGCTCTACTTCCAACTCTTCTGGGGTCCCTTCTTCATGTATCTGGGCTGGCCCATTCTGACCCTAGTAGGAGTCAGCACTGGAGGCACTCACTTTCTATTCCAAGAAATTTGGAAGACGACTATCTGGCCAACTGATTGGAAGAGATCCGTATTTGTGCCCATTCCAAAGAGAGGTGACCCAACGGAATGTGGAAATCATCGGACAATCTCTTTAAAATTTCCCATGCGAGTAAAGTTTTGCTAAAGGTAATACAGAAATGGTTACAAGCATACATTGACAGAGAACTTTCAGAGGTTTAAGCTGGATTCAGAAGAGGCCGTGGAATGAGGGATGTCATTGCTGATGTCCGATGGATCTTGGCTATCACAGAGACTGTCACAGAGATGTTTACCTGTGCTTTATTGACTACGCAAAGGCTTTTGATTGTATGGATCATGACTAGCTATGGACAACATTGCGATGTATGAGTATTCCAGAACACTTAATTGTGCTCATGAGGAATCTATCTGTACCAAGAGGCAGTTGTTCAAACAGAACATGGGAACACTGAGTGGTTTAAAATTAAGAAAGGTGTGTGACAGGGTTGTATTCTTTCACCAGTTATTCAACCTGTATGCTGAGCAAATAATCCGAGAAGCTGGGTTCTATGAAGAAAACGTGGTATCAGGATTGGAGGAAGACTCATTAACAACCTGCCATATGCAGATGATACAATCTTGCTTGCTCAAAGTGAAGAGGACTTAAAACATTTACTGATAAAGATCAAAGAGCACAGCCTTCAGTATGGATTACATCTGAATGTCAAGAAAACAAAAATCCTCACCACTGGACCAATAAACAACATTCTTACCAATGGAGAAAAGAGTGAAGTTGTCAAGGACTTCATTCTTCTTGGATCAACTATCAACACTTATAGAAGCAGCAGTCAAGAAATCAAACGACATATTGCATTAGGCAAATCTGCTGCACAAAACCTTTGTAAAGTGTTGAAGAGCAAAGTTGTCAGTTTGAGGACTATGGTGCGCCTGATCTAAGCCATGGTATTTTTAATAACCTTGTATGCATGGGAAACCTACACAGTGAATAAGGAGACCATAGAAGAATTGATGCTTTTGAATTATGGTGTTGGAGAATATTGAAAGTGCCATACACTGCCAAAAGAACCAACAGATCCATTTTGGAAGAAGTGCTCTTCAAGCTCACCAGCTGCTCCTCAGAAACCCTATCCAGGATCGCTATGGGTCGGAACCCATAGCGACTTAACAACAACAGGTAAAAGGAGCTCTATTAGCGTAGTGATTACGAAATCGGGCTGCTAACCTCATGGCTGGCCATTCAAAACTACCAGCTGTTCTGTGTTAGAAAGATGAGGTTTTCTGCTCCTGTAGAGATTTAGAGCCTCAGAAACCCTTGTGCAGGGTCATTATGAGTCAGAACCAACTCCATGGTACTTACTAACAACAACAGGATTCCTTTAACTGTTGTTATTGGTAAGTGCCCTGGTGTAGACTGACCCCTAGCGACAGTGTATAGAGTTTCCAAGGAGCAGCTGGTGAATGTGAACCACTGACATTGCAGTTCAAACAACTTTGCAGTCTGACACATTAGGCCACAGCGCCACACCAGTACCGTAGTGGTTACAAGTTGGGCTGCTAACCTCAAGGTCAGCAGTTCAGCTGTTTCACGGGAGAAAGATGAGGCGTTCTGCTCCCGTAAAGATTTACAGCCTCGGAAACCCTGTAGAGGGTCGCTATGAGTCGGAACCGACTCCATGGCACACCACCACCTTTCCTTTAACTAGACTGTGGAAAATCTATCTGACTAGGTGCAAAACAGAGGAGTGTGCTCTGCATTGTAATGGGATTTGTGTGACCAAAAATGCATGTATCAACAATTAAAGTGGGAGCCAGCTTCAGGAAGGTAAACAAGAAGAGGCAGGATGAAGGGCAAAGTCTGATGGGATCAGAACCATTGTTGGAAACAGAGCAGGAATAGTCATCAGTCAGCAGGTCTGGCCACACTTCCTAAAAAGCACGGCACGGATTGCTGAGTGATGAAAGAGAAAATGAAAGTAAAAGTAAAGCTCAAGGCATGGGAGAAATGAATTAGCTACAATTCCACCTTCTCTTTGGTGAGGGCCTTCCCGCCCTCTTCTCCACCGCAAAGAAACTCCTTCACCTACTGAAGCCCAACCTGCGATTACGCACCCCAAGTCCCAACTTCCAGGAGGGTAACCGGCTCGCCCTCCGCCCCCGGGAGAACTTCCTTGTCCTCGGCTGCCCCGCCCCCCCGGAAGGTTCTACGCACGCGCGGGGGCCATATTAGCAGCGGATACTCGGGAAGCGGTGGTGGTTTTCTTCCCCTAGAGTAACGTGCTCTGTGTAGATCTTGACTCTTCAGTGTCTTCACTTTGGTGAGCCTTTGCCCCCCTGGGGACCCGCGGGAGTTTGGCTACTCTCTTCGTGAGCGGGGGTTGTGAACGTCCACTCAGACCCGAACTGGGCCTGCAGGCACAGTCAAGAAACCGCGGGCATGATGACTCTGCACCGGCCTCGGTGACGGACTGGCTGCCGGAACTTGGCTCCGGCCGGCCACCGTCGGGCTCCCCTGTGCGTAGCCTGAACCGGGGCCGGGAAGATCTAGCGGCTCGGGCGCTGGGGAGTGGTGGGCTGGACCAAGGAGTAAGGAAACTATTGCCCCTTGAATCCTGTACTGGAAATTTAACGCTTCTGGAGGTGGCGGTGAACTTAAAGTCGTCCTGTGTCAGGCTTCGGGTGTGGAAGTCTAGAAAGTTGTGATTCCGCGCGATTCTGAAACCTTGGGCAGGTCTCTGTCTCTGCCCTCCCGGCTTCCTTATCCTTTAACCTTTCGCCTTGTCTATTGCAATGCTCTGAATCTGGCTACCCTGCTAGAGTGATCGTACATTGCATACCTAACTTTCCAAAACGTACATCAGTTCCTGTGGCCCTTACAATCATTCGGTGAAACCTCATTAGCAAATGGATAAAGTTCAAAGGTTTTACTTAAACCCACGGGCCGTGTATCGCATTTTTCCTGCTTACTGGTCCATTTGTAATTCTAGATATTCTAGTATTTGGGAATGTGGACTTTGCAGTGTGAAGGCTCAGTTTTCCAACCAAGTCCCGGGGCCCGTTTTGGCATGAATGGTAATGATGCCAACCTTGACTCTCATTGGTTCGGTGTCACTCTTGGGAAAACCGAAGCCGCTTCACCTGGCATTCAAGGCTCTGCATGATTTGAATACATATTTCGTTCTCTAGCATCTTTTCATTCTGCTATGCATAAGGTCGCTATGGGTCGGTACCGACTCGATGGCACCAAACAACAACAACAACAGCATCTCTTTGAAAACTCAGCATTTTGCCTCTTGCCTATCCATAGCTCATGCTTTCCTTTGCCTTTTCCCTCCCATTTTCTTGTTTTTTCTCTTAGACCTGCGAGTGCTCAACCTTGTTTCTGCTTCTCCCATCGCTCCTAATTTAGACTCATTTTCTGTATCCATTTTTCAGATTAGATTTAGTTTGCTTTCTCCATCGCACTTTTTGCCCCTACCTTCCACACAGCTTTGTAACTGTCTTTGTCTGCCCCTTTACCTGTACCTCTTTAAGGTTACCCACTTGGTATTCAAGCATCTAGCATAGTGCCTGACACTTACCAGGTGCATAGTAAACCTTGGCTGAGAAGGGAGCAGACCTATTTTTTTTTTTTTTTAAGTCAGAAAATGCTTCTTAGATTATAAATTTCATTTTCATGATCATATTTTCTTTTTACAGGAATTATATAAAATTCAGGAAACATGGTGAGTTAATGCATATACCAGTAAGCTGTGGTGTGATAATACAGGCATGTTGTTCTTGTTAAGTGCCTTTGATTGAGTTCCCACTCATGACCCTATATAGTGTTTTTGAGGAGTAGCTGGTGAGTTTGAACCGCTGACCTTGCTGTTCAAACTGAATTTAGGTTAAGTGCTTATCCTAACCTAAGGTCAATCAACACCAGGACTTCAAATACAGGCATACCTCAGAGACACTGCAGGTTCGGTCTAGACCACTGCAGTAAAGCATATATTGCAGTGAAGTGAATCACTGGTTTACTAATGGTGGCACTATAGGATAAACATTAGACTGCTGACCATACAGTTGGTACTTCAAATACACAACTACTCTTTAGGAGAAAGATGAAGTTTTCTGCTTCCATAACAGTTTACAGCCTCAGAAACCATACAGTGTTGTTATGGAAGTTTTGTTTACACTGTAGTGTAGTCTGTGTGTAGTTGCATTATGAAAAAATTTGAAATACTGTGAGAATTACCAAAAGGTAACATGCCAACACAAAATGAGTACATGAAGTTAGAAAAGTTACACCAGTAGCCTTGCTCAGTGCAGGGTGGCCACAAACCGTCCGTGTGTAAAACATGTAGTGCCTGTGAAGCACAGTAAGACAAAGCAATAAAACAAGGTGTGCCTGACTGTTTATACTCAGACTCCTGAGTATGAGAAGCTTCAAGTGTGATTTGTGGGCTTGCAGGGACATGCTGACTTCCAGGAGTAGGAATCACTTAGATGTTTTTCCTTTGCAGTCTCGAAGATATGACTCCAGGACCACTATATTTTCTCCAGAAGGTAAATAGAAATCGTTTAATTGGTCTTAAATAAACTATTTTTTAAAGTGTTAGGTTTTTAGGAAATGAAAAAAAAAAAATCTCCACTTCTTTTTGTAGTTGTTAAGTTGTTCATCTTTTCTGTACTTTGAATTAAGTCTGGTCACCAGGTTGATTGGATGCCTCATGGCAGACTAAAAGTGGGTCTCTCATGTATAGCTTGCCATTGTCATTGTTGATTTCGCTTAGAGCTGTAAGTAACCAGTGAGGCAAGAGCACACAGTCTGTCTCCTATGCTTACGTTATACAGGTCGCCTGTACCAAGTTGAATATGCCATGGAAGCCATTGGACATGCAGGCACCTGTCTGGGAATTTTAGCAAATGATGGTGTTTTGCTTGCAGCGGAGAGGCGCAACATCCACAAGCTTCTTGATGAAGTCTTTTTTTCTGAAAAAATTTATAAGCTCAATGAGTAAGTGAGATCTCTGGGAAGAGCGTTATAACATGTCTCACTTAAGGACCTCATGTTGCTCATTTCAGGTTTAGGACCAAGCACTTAGTGGAGAAGCAGCATTGTATAGTGATAAGAACACTGACTTAGGTAGCTTGGGGTTCAAATCCAGGCACCACCCACATGGACTGTGTAACCTTCTATCCATTACTAACTTCTCAGAGCCTCCTAGAATGGCGGTGACAGTTGAATAAAGGAAGAGAAGGGCATGGCACCTCGTCCAGTGTTGCAGGGCATCAACCCCAGATATACTGAGTCAGAATCTACATTTTAACAAGATCCCCAGGTGGTTCTTAGAGATGTTGTTAAAATGTCGATTCGGATTCAGTGTATCAGAAGCAAGGGATTAATTAAACCAGAATGAACCAACTTAAAACCCTGATTCAATCTTGTTTAGAATCCCTACTAAGGAATTGAGTTGAGTTATACCGCGTCTTACCAAAGAATGGGCTTCCTTGAGGTCTGGGAACAGTTTGCACTTCATAGTGGTGGTGCAAACAGTTGTTGCTGCTAGCTGAACAGTTGGAAATTTGAGTCTGCCCAGAGACTCCCCAGCAGAAAGCCTCAGCAATCTACTTCAAAAATCAGCCATTGAAGACCGTGGAGTACAGTTCTCTGACAACACGGGGTCATCATGAGTTGAAATGGACTCATTTACAGCTGATAAGTTACACTTCAGCAGGACTTTGCTACTAACAGCTGCGTTTGCCGACTGCCTTTGCTTCCTTGCTAGGCCTGGTACAGGCTGTGTCTACGGACCATTTGATGCCCTCTGCAGAGTGTTACCCCTGCCACAGAGTCACTATTGGGCCACTCTGCAACTTGAGGTGTTGGCTGGGCAGCCCTGGAGAGACAGGGGACAAAGAAAGAAACTATACTCCATACCATGTACCTAGTCCAGGATTTCTTAGGCCTCCTTGAAACACCCTGCCCACATGCCTCCTCAAGTTGGTGGCTTTATATTTCTGCCTGGAAAAACTTTTTTTTTTCTACTCCTGCTGAATCTTCAGGATTACTTGACCTCCTGAATGTTACTTCTGTTGCCCTTAATACAGGACAGTGATGATAAATATAGGGGCGCTTCAAGAAGTTTGCATCAAAGTAGAATTAAAAGATAGTGGAAGATTTCCACACACTGTTTTGAAGTCCCCTCATCCACCTAATTAAGAGTTTTTTAAGAGTACATTTGTTTCTTTTTCATGTTGATTGATATCAAACTAAAAGTCTCTTACAAAGATAAAAAATATCTTAGAAAGTACTTGTCTAAAGGGTGTAGCAGCTGTGAAGCCAGCATGGTGAACTTCTTAATAGAGCGTAAAAAGTCATAGAATTTGGTGGTGTTTAGATATATCTGTGCTTAAATACTGCTCTCAAGCATTGCCTCTGTTTACGTTTACTGATCCATCTTTCTTTCTTTAAGGGACATGGCCTGCAGTGTGGCGGGTATAACTTCCGATGCTAACGTTCTGACTAATGAACTGAGACTCATTGCTCAAAGGTATGGTCAGAATAGCACATGTGATGAGAGATCAATTAGATATTAGCAAGGAGAACTCAGTTTTTCTTTTGTTGTTATGTGCTGTGGAGTCGGTTCCGACCCATAGCGACCCTGTACAGGGTTTCTGAGATTGTAAATCTCGACAGGAGCAGAAAGCCTCGTCTTTCTCCTGCAGAACAGCTGGTAGTTTCGAACTGCTGACCCTGAGGTTAGCAGCTTGATTCGTAACCACTACGCTACCAGGGCGCTCTATTAATTGAATGGTACTGTTATTAAAGTGCTGTTGGGTCGGTTCATAGCGGCCCTGCATAGGATCTCCAAGGCTGCTGTTCTTGGTGGGAGCAGGAAGCCTCATCTTTCTCCCATGGAGTGGCTGGTGGGCTCAAACTGTCAACCTTAAATGGTCCGCAGTCCAGTGCTTATCGTATAGAGCTACTGCTCTCCCCAATTGAAAATTGTTGTTGTGAAGTGCTGTTGAGTTGGTTCTGACTCACAGCAACCCTGTATAGGGTTTCTGAGGAGCAGCTGGTGAGTTTGAACCCGTGACCTTGTCATTCAAACCGATCTTGTGGTCCAGTGCCTATCTTACATTGCCATACCAGGACTTCTGAATGGAAAGTTAGTGTGTTTTTCTTAAAACAGAAGTATTTGTAAAATAGTTACTTCCTGTAAGGATACTAAGGTATTGTCATGGTCCCTCCTCCCTCTTCAAACTACTAGTGTTCCCGATGGCATGCATTTCCTTTCAAATGATGTTTTGTTTAGAATGTGTCTGTGTGTTAAAGGAACCCAGGCGGCGTAGTGGGCTAAGTGTTGAACTGCTAACCACAAAGTCAGCGGTTCAAACCCATCAGCTGCTCTGTGGAAGAACAATAAGGCATGCTGCTTCAGTAGAGACTTAACAGCCTTGGAAACCATGGCGCAGTTCTACTCTGCTCAGTAGGATCGCTGTGAGTCAGAATTAGCTGGATGGCATGGGTTTGGTTTTGGCTGTTTGTTGTCTGTTTCAGAGAAAACTGATAATGCTAATCTCTTTAAATTCTAGGTATTTATTACAATATCAGGAACCAATTCCTTGTGAGCAGCTGGTTACGGCACTGTGTGATATCAAACAAGCTTATACACAGTTTGGAGGTACTAATTTCTTAGAAACTTTATTTAGAAAGGTTTAAATGTTTAATGAATTTGAACCATTTTAAGATAATGAAAAGTGATTAAACAAGTAAACACTTCATAAATCCCTGCTTTATAGACTAGCTGCCATGGTGGAATACCATGAGTTCTGTTACTAGGATATTGAGAGGCCAAATGATCATTCCAAATCTGGAAACAGATTGGTTTTTGCATAATAATGAATCTCAGCTCTGGTGGCCTCTCGCTGGCTCTGTCCCAGTCCCAGGAACAAAAGCGAAATTTCTGATGGCACTTATCTATCATAGCCAGGACCCAAGGCAGTTTGTGAATGCTTAACTTCACAGAATAGGCTCTCGTCACCTTCCCTCAGCTCAGGTAACTATGACACTAAATTTAAACTCTTGATCCGATTGACTGCTTTTTTCTTTCTTAAAGGAAAACGTCCCTTTGGTGTTTCCTTACTGTACATTGGCTGGGATAAACACTATGGCTTTCAGCTCTACCAGAGTGACCCGAGTGGGAATTATGGCGGCTGGAAAGCCACATGCATTGGAAATAATAGTGCTGTGAGTATGTTTGTGATGTTCCAAGACCCCGGTAAGGGGGTCTGGTAACGACTGCAGTTCTGAAGTAGAGATGAGTCTGAACAGTATTTTAAGATGGCTGTCACAACCTCAGTGTGATGTGGAAAAACTGAGTTCTGTTAGTGACAAAGTTGCAGGTAGTCCTAATGCTATAAAGGTTTGCTGTTTACAATTATAATGAAAGAATAAGGATATGCTCATTTTCATTGAGAAGTTCTGAAAATAAAGATGAATTGTTCCCCCTTCCTAGTTCACAGACACCCCCACCCCCGACTCCACCGTGAATTCTACCTACCGTGGCCCTCCCCTCACAGTGTCAGCTCTCCCCTTGCTGGTCCCTTTCTGGGTCTGCTTCTCTGCCATCATAACTATACACTGGTTAGGGGGCCAGTAGTAATGCATGCATCATTCTGACCAAGCCATAGTCCTGAAGACTACAAAACTTACAGGACATTCTGTCTGTTAATTCTTGATATTTTACAGGCAGCTGTGTCAATGTTAAAGCAAGACTACAAAGAAGGAGAAATGACTTTGAAGTCAGCGCTTGCTTTAGCTATCAAGGTGCTAAATAAGACCATGGATGTTAGTAAACTTTCTGCGGAAAAAGGTAATTCATATGATTGAGCAACTGCTATGTTAGGCCTCTAACATGTTACCTAAGTTCATTGAGTTAGGTGGCATTATACCGATCTCCTAGGGAGTCCTGGTGTGGTGCTGTGCATTAATGTGCTGGACTGTATAGTCAGTTTGAATCTTAAGGTCGCCAGTTCAAGCTCAACAGTTGCTCCTTGGGAACCCTATACAGGATGGCTGTGGGTCGGAACCAACTCGATGGCACTTAACAACACACCGATCTCCTAAATGAGGAAACTGGATCTTAGTGAGATGAAGAGACTTGACCATTTAATTTATGTTTAAGTTGTATGACCATATAAAAACATTGTCATTTTTTACAAGACAATAACAGCAGTCTGACTGATTACTACAACAACAAGCAAGTTGCCCGCCTAGGAGACATCAAGGCAAGTGGTCAGGTCCCCTCAGGGCAAACCCCCTTCCAACATTGAGACTCAGTGGGAGTACACAAGCAGACACGTGCTCTGACTGGTGGCCATGTTGGTCACCGATAAGGGGAAGTAAGGGAAAAACAGCAGTGAAGCTGTGCACTAAGTCCTACCACGGTCAATAGACTCCTGTGAACCTGGGTGGAGACCTGGTTGGCCAGCAGTTTGGCAAGACCTGGGGACTCCTGGGCCCAGAGTCAGTGACATAGCCACAGAGGACTAGAGCGGAGAGTGAAGCATCCAGCAGATAAGAAGTGAGGGCATATGCACAAGAACACCCACACTTGCAGATAATACCCACTTGACCTGGCTTCAATGACTGGATGATCAGAGCTCAACTAGTAGGTGAAAGAAGAGGGAAAAAAAGAGTAATTGATACAATTTGATGAACTTGACCTACACCTATGGATGCAGTAGCTCAAAAGAGGGAACAAATCTTTACAGCAAGAATCATTCCCACCCCCTCAATACACAGAGTAGACAGGGATGGGCAACTTGGACATTGGCTACCCAAAAAAGGAACTCTTGTAGCGTAGTGGTTACGAATCAGGCTGTGAACCTTAAGGTCAGCAGTTCGAAACTACCAGCTGCTCCGCAGGAGAAAGATGAGGCTTTCTGCTCCCATAAAGATTTACAGCCTTGGAAACCCTGTACAGGGTCACTGTGGGTCGGAACAGACTCCACGGCACTTAACAACAACAAAGGCAAGAAGTGACTGGCTTACCAGCTTTCAAGAGAGAGCTTAGATCCAGAGGGTGCGGAAGAAGGTAGAGTCTCCACAGAGTAGTATCCAATCTGTCTGGGCGGGGCTGATGAAAGGAGATGGGGATAGGATTCGTGGTACAAAAAAAAAATTTGTTTTTAGTTATTTCTAACATTTTTTCAATTAATATTGGTGTAGTTTAAAATAACTTAGTTCCTGGTTGTTGTTGTTAAGTGCTGTCGTTTGTTCCGACTCATAGCGACGACCCTATTTAGGGTTTTCAAGGAGCACATGATTGCAGTCCAGTGCTTATCCTACAATACCACCAGGACTCTAGTCGGATGCACTAAATTTTTTCATGACACAAAAAAATTCTTTCCCCTTTAATTCACTTAACTATAGTATTGGAATCTGCTTTTCGTGCCTTTGTTTTAAAAAGGAAAAATTTTAATCATTGTAAAATAATTCCTTTTTGTGGTTAAAAACCCTGCTTGAGCTTTCAGAGATTCCAGCTTGGAAAGTGTGGTTCCCCCGATCAACAGCCAACTGCAGGCTAGCTAGAGCACGTGCCACGCAGACGATTCTGACTCCTTGTGACTATTGTTGTTGTTGTCAGGTGTAAAACTGCCCCACCCACAGGGTTTCCAAGACACACTCTACAGAAGCAGCCAGCCTCCTCTTTCTCCCTTGAAGTGGCTGGTGGGTTTGAACTGCTGACTTGTGAGTTAGCAGCCAAGCACTTAGCCATTGCACCACCAGGACCCCCTTTTCCAAGGGAATGTCAAAACAGCTGCTAATAAGACTGGGATGGACAAGGAAAAGGAAGATATTAACTAAACATGGCAATCCGAGCATTGTAAGAGCTAAGATGTTTTGTTCCCATTCAAGTATCCATGAATTGTGTTACACATAAAACAAGAGTGGTGTGAAGAGATTAAATTATGATTGCCTATTAGGTTTGCTTGCTGAGTATACCTGCTTATAACAGTCATGTGTGTTTGTTTGTAGTGGAAATTGCCACCCTAACAAGAGAGAATGGAAAGACAGTCATCAGAGTTCTCAAACAAAAGGAAGTGGAACAGTTGATCAAAAAACATGAGGAGGAGGAAGCTAAAGCTGAGCGTGAGAAGAAAGAAAAAGAACAGAAAGAAAAGGATAAATAGAAGAAGACAAAATCAGGGATTTTCTAACTCACTGTGGCCACCAATTTCAGTGTAAAATCTGTCTGAATCGTTGCCACTGAGAAAGCTTTGACTCTTGTTGAAACTTGTGCAGTGAGGAGATAGGACATACTGAGTTGGGTTCCTGTTGTGTTTGTTCATTTGGATACTTTAGTGTAATGATGATAATTCTCTTCATGGACTTTTTTTTTTGAATAAAACTTGGAAGAATGGAAATGGTGTATTTACTATGAAGTAAAACGGAGCAGTAGTTGTTAGAGATGCCAGGATTCATAGGGCTATTATCTTTTCAGACTTAGTACAGACTGGCCGTACTTTGAGGTACGTTCACATGGGGTGTTAAAATGGACAGAAATGTAAGCATCATAAAAGAGAGCAGTGGGAATTGTGCATTGGGGATTTCCTTTGCTGTCCTTCCCCTACCGTCTTGGAGAGTCATTAGAGCAAAACAGAACGCTGTCCTTCCCCTGGGCCTAGTAGGGTGATAACAGGTGTGCCCAGTAAGAAAGGGTGTCGATCCCATTCTAGGTGCTGGCAGACTTTGATGATGACTTTGTTAAAAGTCATTTGTCATCCCAATTTATAGCAACCTGCCGTGCTCTGTAGGGTTTTAATGACTTGAGTTTTCAGAAGATTGCCAGACCTTTTTTCTGAGGAGCCTCTGATCTTTCCAGTAGGATCCAAGCATCGTATCAATTCTTGAATCCTTGCTACTTATTATAGACGATGGTAGCTATTCCTCCTTTAAAAATTGTGTGTCAGAGCATATACACCATAAAATGGGGGCTTCCAAAAGTTTGTGGAAAGTGGAATTTTCCAACAAACTTAGAAGACCCCTTGTACACACCCAAATATGTAAAATGAAGCTTGAAAAGGCTAGACAAAACAAAGCTCTATGACACCTCGGTTGAGAAACAACCAGCACTTCTGAAGCACCTGTGTTACATTTTGAGCCAGCCCTCTTGCCCTGTACTTTCAAGAAAAGACCACAATTCTGAATTGTGTGTTGGTCATGCCTGGAAAATGACTTTGACACTCACTCTCCCATTGTCCCATCCACTGCACATGTCCATGTAGGTCTGTCCTTCAGAGAACTTGAACAAAGAGGCACATTCTTTGGGCTGGTCCCTCACTGTCTCAGTGATTGGCTTGACAGTGAACGTGAACTGAATGAAACCAGAATTGATGGAGGATGTGAGGAAAGGAATGAGGATCCCATAGCAGGATGGAGGCTAACCCCAGTCAGCATCCCAACCTGTATGGAAAATGTATTAAGGAAAAGTGGTGTGCCGTGGACTCGGTTCTGACTCATAATGACCCTGAGGCTGTAAATCTTTACAGGAGCAGAAAGCCTCATCTTTCTCCCGAGGAACGGCTGGTAGTTTTGAACTGCTCACTTTGAGGTTAGCAGCAAGACTTGTAATCAGTACAGTACCAGAGCTCCTGTTGAGTCAGTTCTTAGCCCATAGCAACCCTGTATAGGATTTCTAAAGAGCAGCTGGTGAGCTTGAATCATCAACCTTGTGATTCAAATGACTTTGCAGTCCAGCACATTAACCCACAGTGCCACGGAGAAATTAGTTTAACAGGGAAGTGCAAGCCATTCACTTTTGGTAGAAGCCTGCTCTACCTTTTACTCAACTTGAGTTGACTGAGGTTTCCGTCACGTGAAACCAAGAGCTCTTTTTGGTTCACGTGATGTGGAGCAGTGCTACTTACAGTGACGGGTGGCCAGAAGTACTAGATGGTACCTAGCAACCACTACCAACTGTTTGGAAAGGGATCCCATTAGAAGGTCCTAGCTAATGTTGTTTTCCCTTTACACCTATCTGCTACTTGGCTGAAAATGGATCCACAAAGATGAATTCAGTCTCTTAACAAGTCTGGTTTTTCTTGATTTGTTCTGGACTTGTTAAGAGACTGAATTCATCTTTGTGGATCCATTTTCAGCCAAGTACCAGATAGGTGTATAGGGAAAACAACATTAGTGAGTATGCCCTCCATTGTGGGGGAGGGGAGGGGTCAACCATTCAAGGTCAAAAGGGCAGTATTTACCAAAAGACAAAATTCAGAAGGGTTGGGAAAGAAGGTGGAATGGAAACAAGATACACAGGAAGTAGAATAACAGGTATTCCATTGAGGAGACTTGTTTAAGTGCTGTGAAGTCAGTTATGATTCATAGAGACCCTGTATAGGGTTTCCAAGGAGTGGCTGGTGAGTTTGAACCACCAACCTTGTGGTCAAGTGCTTACCCTCCAGCGCCCGGCAGGACTACAACTGTATATCATACCAACTAAATCAACCTCTGGAGTGGGGCCCAGGCATTAGGGTTTTTATAAAACTCCCAGGGGATTTCATCATGGGTTGCAGGACCCTCTGGTTTCCAGGGTGTCACCTGATGCAACTGATGCAGGCTTCATCTGAATGAAGGGTCTTCATTCCTTAGGCTATGTATCACGGTTTCCTTAGGAGAAACGTTCTCCCCTAAGTCCAGCACTTCATTCTCCATCTGGGCAGAACTCTTGGGTTCTCACAGGTGTGTACTACCTGATCAGCAGCACCTTGATAGAAATAAGAAATCAAAGAGAACTGAAGTTTGAAATCTCAAGTCAAAACTCCAAAGTCAAAATCTTGAGTTCATTACATTTTGGCAAATTACAAATCATGCTTTTAAAGATACATCAAGTGTCCCTGGGTATAATTTTACTTCTGATGTTTTTCTCAATCAGAAAATAAGATTCCGGAATTTTCAGTCTAGCACTTCGAAAATGCCATGAAAGCGTCTGTTTTATCAATGCAAAGATATTCCACACTCTGGGGGGATATCAGAAAAGTGGATATATTTCTTTACTGAGCACTTACCAGGTGCCTGGTAATTTGTTGTTGTTGTTGTCAGGTGCCATCGAGTCGGAACCAACTCATAGCGACCCCATGCACAGCAGAACGAAACAATGTCCGATCCTGGGCCAACCCCACCACCGCTGCCACACTTGAGTCCATAAATGATGCCACCTGGCCGATCCATCTCGTTGGGGGGTCTTCCTCTTTTTCTCTGACCTTCCATCTTACCCAGCATGACATCCTTCTCCGGTGACTGTTCCCTCCTGACAATATGTCCAAAGTATGAGAGACGAAGCTTAGCCATCCTGGCCTCCAAGGAGCACTCTGGCTGCACTTCTTCCAAAACAGATCTATTGGTTCTTTTGGCAGTCCACGGCACTTTCAATATTCTCCTCCAACACCACAACTCAAAGGCATCAATTCTTCTACGATCTTCCTTATTCACTGTCCAGCTTTCGCATCCATATGAGGTTATTGAAAATACCATGGCTTCCGTCAGGCACACCTACTAGTCCTCAAGCTGACATCTCTGCTCTTCAACACTTTAAAAAGTTCCTGTGTGGTAATTTGAGGTGATAGGAAAATGCATATTGTTCTTGTTGTTAAGGCCGACTCATAACGACCCTGTATAGGGTTTCCAAGGAGTGACTGGTGGGTTTGAACAGCCCACCAGACTTGTAGTTAGCAGTATAATGCTTAACCTTCAGCACCACATCAGGACTCCATACATTAGGGACTAAAACTGTCCTTTGCTCTTAGTTTGCAGGATTACAGGAAAGGCTAGAACTAATTCTGGTGTGACACTGTAGAGTAACTGCAAGGTCGGCAGTTCAAACCCACCTGCTGCTTCTCCGAAACCCTATACAGGGTAGATATGAGTTAGAACTGAATTGACCACACTTAAGAACAACAGCTACTTAGTGTGGCAGAAGTGGCCGTATACTTCAGGTCAGGGAATAAAGGTAGAAGGAATGGCATGAGCAAAGATCTGACCATAGGAACTCCCTTTCAACTGATTGGCTGCCCATAGAAGATCTCATCATGGAAAAGTGTACATCTCCATAGGGAAGGACTAACATCTTAACTGCCAAGTCACTGCAAATCCTGACCCAGCCAAGTTGATACACAATCTTAATCATGGCAGATATTTATAAGAGATAAGGTTAGAAATACAAGTAAACACTAGGATGAAAAGTAAGCAGTTCTACAAATCTCAGAGTTTGTGTTTTCTGCAACGCAGAGGCCACTGAGGTGTTTGAATGAATGAAACAGTTACCTGGAGGTCCAGAAGATGAATTAGGTGGGAAGAGACAGAAAGCAGGGAGACCAGTTAGGAGGTCACCAAAATCGTTAGGCAAGGAAGGAGAGAGAAAGTACAGAGTTAAGTAAGGGAAGAGTGGAAAGGAATAAAAGGAGACTGGGACACTGGTTCAGGAAAGCAGTTAAAATCTGATCCCCAAAGGCGGTATGTGAACATGATGGAATACTTCAAATTTTTCATTGTTTATTTTTTTAGGAGTTTTTGTGTGGCGCTGTAGGATCAGCACTGGACTACAAGGTCAGTTTGAACTCAAGGTCGGCGGTTCAAACTCACCAACCGCTCTTCAGAAACCTTTCTCAGGGTCCTATGAGTAAGAACCAACTTGATGGCACTAAATAACAACAACAGCAATATATTTTTTGGTTTTGTTTGAGACTGATATTCCTATATATGAACTTGCACACATTATACATTGGGGTAAAACCAAGTCCCCCAGAGATATGCCATTTTAAGATTTGACATTTATCCCATAATAGAAAAACATTTTTATTACAATGTGAATACAAAGTTCATGCTAGTAGAAATCTTAGAATAAGCAAAACATCAAAAATAGCCTTAACATTCTTCTAGACGTTTTAGTGTGTATACAGATAGACAGATTTTTAAATAGGATAAGTCAGTATCTGTTCCTCTGTCACTTGCTTTTCTTCAGTTGCTATATGATGAGCATTTTTGTGTGTGCCAATATTAATATATCATGACAAAACAGTAACTCCCACCAAACAACGTTTCTGCCCTTCTGGGTCTTGGTAAGAGAAGGTGGGAGAAGATATTATAGGATGACATAGTTCAGCTGTGGATGTCAACAGCCTTCATTGTAATTGTAAAAACGTGAAACTCTAGTTTGGGTTTTAAATGGGCCATCTCAGAAGCAGGAGTGGGGAACTCGCTACTATTAAAGAAGATGAGCCAGAAGTGGAACTTGTCTTTTTGACCCTGAGATCCAAGCATTGAACCTGCTCAACCCAGACACAGAAAGCTGTGTGACCTTGGGGGAGTGGCTGAGGTATAGCAGTAGCAGTAGAACCAAGAACCAGAGCACAGACAGAGCAGGAG